GGGTAATGCACAGGATTATCTGCGAGGGTGCAGAAGGGAAATATTTGAATTTATATTTACTGTTTTATCTTCAAAAAATCACTAAGACATTTATATTTGAAAACTAGGACTGTGTAATTGTTATTTAGTCATTTCTTCCTTGTTCAGTATGTCAGATGATCATTTGGTACTAAAGATATCTTGAGGGAAGCATACAATGTTCACTTTCTGCATGTTGTACAATACTACAATTTGTCTAACAGGACTTAAGAAGTATTGTCTAGTTTAACAAATGCAAAAAGAGTAAGTCTTGGATGAGGAATTTATGGAGAAAGTCAAACCAAGTTGTGTAACTACAAAGATGATCACATGGTTGTTCATCTAACAAGATATACAAAATCGAATCTGTTCTCATAAACTTAAAAAAAAAAACTTTATGCTGATTTTGAGGTTTTAAGTAAAACTTTTCTAAAAATTCTAATTTTTATTGTGAAGAAGTACGTTTCTGCTATTACAGCCATTAAAAGTCAAATGTGTAAGCTGATGTTAGAGCTAATTCTTTGAACCTGTATCATACAGTGTTAAGATCTTCAGAAATAAATGTTCAATTATGCATTCATTTAAAATATTTTTATGTGAACAGAGTTTTGTGCCATAAATAAAATAAATTTCAGTCTTTTTCATCCTTTTATGTTCTTTTTTGTGGTACAGATGATATTTATTATTTTTACATTATCATTGTAAAGCCAATAAAAATAATAGATAAGTAAACATGCATATCCACATGGGTATTAATAAAATTTGGAGATCCTTAATTTGCATTCTTCCATAAAATAGTTTCTAGGTTTCCTACGTGCTTTTCTGCCCTCATATTTGATCAAGCCTGTGTTTACATTTTATGTTTTAGCCATATTTGACTTTTCCGTGTCTTTTTTTTTTTTTTTTTTTTTTGAGTCTCACTCTGTCGCCCAGACTGGAGTGCAGTGGCCGCTCCCAGCCACCGCAGCCTCGACCTGCTGGGCTCCGGGATCCTTCCGCCTCAGCCTTCCAAGTAGCTGGAACTACAGGCGTGTGCTACCATGCCTGGCTAATTTTTGATTTATTGTAGAGATGAGGTCTGTTTCTTAAATGGGCCACATGCTCTTGTTTCTAGACATTGGCACATTCTCATTTCTCTTTTTAGTTTAAGTTTCATCCTTTTTTAGCATAGTGTTTCTCAAAGTGTAATCCTTGAGCTGTTTTGTTACCAGTCCATGATGAGATAAGAAAAGAACTTGAGAGTAAGCATTTAGAAACTTGAGATGCATTTCGACATTGTTATCATCATATCCAAGTACATGGTCAGTGAACTACTTTGTGAACAGGACACAGACTAGTTCAAGTGCCATTAAGAAATGCATGCTAATCGTAACCAGCAGGACTGTTGCGGTGTATGATATTTTGAAGTTATTCATTTGTAATGCAAAAATGTATAAGAATTAAAGAAAATGTAAGCATGTATTTATTTTTAAAATCTTATGTTACTTTTAATCAGGCTTATTTTTGACCCACAAATAAAATAATTAAAAAGTAAATACAAAATAAATAAAAACATAAACATCTTTTTCATTCTTTTAAGTTTCTGCATTTATGGGTATTATTTAAATCCTAGAAGTAAAATTTAAACTATTTCCAACCCTAACTTACTGATGACAAAACAAGCTTTACTGGACTTCTTGACAATAAAAGATAGACTTTTTCTGAATGTGACCTAGTAGTAAACTAAATAATGACAGTGGAATTAATGTCAAAGCATTACAGACCAATGAGTCTATACTAGTTTTGTTGGGGAGTACTATCTGTCTAATTTTGAGTTTAACTTTTAGCAATAATTGATGGAGGAAGTGCTACAACAATAGTGGGTTATTTGTGGAGATGTGCTGACTAATGAAACAATATAAAACCATCAGAATTTAATTGGCACTTATATACATGAATAAATATATTCAAACCAAGTTCATTATTTAAATGAAATTACACTGAAAAGCTGACAGAAGCAGATGTTCAGGATTTTACATGTAATTATTATTTTGTGGGTTTACATTGATTTTGCTAACTTAGCAATGATGTGAAGTAAGAATTGATTTTTCAGCTTCAGTAGTGACAAATACAGCTTGCTCTGAAGTATATCTCTTTCAAAGAGTTACATTGTCAACAAATGTGGTTTAGATTTTTGCTTTCCTTTTATAGGACTATATTCTAGTTGTGTTGATATGTGTGACCGATAGCATAAGGCAGATTTGATAGTGTGCAGAGACAGTGACAAGAAAAACATGTGAGAGCTTGTGCCAGAATGTAAATCAATGTCCTGCTTCTTCTTTTATTGAGAAAGTCTAGCTATGTCAGCTGAACTAAACAGTATGCTTGCTAAATCAGCTGAATTAACAGCAGTTCACTAAAAGTGTGAATAGGAGCACTAATTCATTCAACGTGAAATTTCTAAAAAATTAAATGATATTGTAGTTTGGCAGTAGATCCGATCAACTGTTCTCAGAGGTATATATTGGTTTTCAAAGGGAAATTTTCAGTTAAGAGTATTTTAACTTTGGGATGAACTCTCAGGGTTTTTGCAAAGATAAGAAATCAGTTTTATCCCCACTATTCAAATTCGTGAATTAGACTTATTTGTCTGATAGCTTCATTTTTTAGAATGATCTTAGCCTTCTATGGGAAAGAATGCCAAATGCTTCTAATGGCAGATAAGATCAAAGGACAGAAATGAAAGTTGAAAATTCTCGGGAAAAGTTACCTGACCTTGATATGGTTCTATAATTTAGTAGCATCTATCAGTAAAGTAAGTGGTAAAGTTGGTATTACCTTACAAATTTGATAGGTCACTTTTTGAATTTTATTTTCCATCAAAAGAAATTCATAAATCAAAATCCGTTTTTAAAATAAAGTTATTTTAGATTTAACTAATTTTGCTGGATAAATTATTAGAAGTGGCTTCCAGTAAAGGGTTGAAAACAAATTTTGAAAAGCAAATTTTCTATATTTTAGATAAAAATGATCATCTGAGCTTGTTGAAACTGCACTTAAATCTCTTCCCCTATTTCTGTCCTCTGAAATTAGCTTCTCTATTATGAGTTCCATTAAAACAGCATAGAACATTTTAGATATAATTATCTCTTGTGAGTAACATTGTCATCAGTCCAACCTAGACTAGATAAATTAACAAATGTGTTAGTCATCCTCCAGGATAGCTCCCAGTGAGCCCTACCTCCTGGTGTTTATCCCTTGTATGATTCCCTCTCACACTGCACCATGGTTGGCATGTGTGACCAATAGAATAAGACAGATTTGATAGTTTTTCATTTCTGAGATTGGGTTATGACAAACCCTGCAGCATCTCTCTTGCTTGCTCTGTCACTCTCTCTGGAATCCAGCTGCCGTATGGTGAACAGGCCAGCGGAGAGGCCCACATAGTGAAGAACTGAGGCATTTGTCATCAGTCACGTGAGTGAGCTTAGAAGCAGCTTCTTCAGTCCAGTTGAGCTTCAGGTGACTGAAGCCCTAAATAACATTTTGACCAAAAGCTCAAGAGAAGCCCTGAGTCATAACCACTCAACTAAGCTACTTCTAAATTCCTGACCAAATGAAACTTTGTTTTAAACCGCTAAATTTTGGGGTAATTTATAAGGCAGTCATGGATAATTAATACAGTGAGCAGGAAATAAACTCATCTGTTACATTAAAAAACTTAAATATTGACACACATGCTGTTTTTTCAGTGTATGAACTGATGTTTAATTTGAGGAATAGCTGTTTTACTCATAACTTTTTGTTAAATCAGAATTGCAGAATGACAAGTTACTAATGTGAGAGCAGTTTCCTGTATTAATTGCCTATGTATACTTTTTTTTTTTTTTTTGAGTTGGAGTCTCACTCTGTCGTCCAGACTGGAGTGCAGTGGCCGCTCCCGGCCACCGCAGCCTCAACCCGCTGGGCTCTGGCGATCCTTCTGCCTCAGCCTTCCGATAGTTGGAATTACAGGCATGCGCTACCACGCCTGGCTGATTTTTTGATTTATTGTAGAGATGAGGTCTCGCTGCCCAGGCGGGTCTTGAACCCGCAGGCTCAGGCAATCCACTCACCTCAGCCTCTCAAAGGCGTGGGATTATAGGCTGAGCCACCGAGCTCGGCTCTATGTATATTTATAATGAAAAATTTGCAACTTTGTGGAATTTTTCTAAAAGTTTTATTCATCCAACAGTTTGGTTTTTTTTTTTGAGTTGGAGTCTCACTCTGTTGCCCAGACTGGAGTACAGTGGCCACTCCCGGCAGCCTCGACCTACTGGGCTCTGGTGATCCTTCTGCCTCAGCCTTCCGAGTAGCCGGAATTACAGGCATGCGCTACCACACCCAGCTGATTTTTTTTATTTATTGTAGAGATGAGGTCTCGCTGCCCAGGTGGGTCTCGAACCCGTGGGCTCAGGCAATCCACTCACCTCAGCCTCCCAAAGGCGCGGGATTACAGGCTGAGCCACCGAGCCCGGCCCAACAGTTCATTTTTACTTTATTTTTTAAAGTATTGGCCCATGAAGGATTGAAATTTTTAAAAAGGAGAAGTAAAGTGGGTTTTCACCACAGATAATCTAGACAGTCTATCCTGTCACAGTTCTCATAGTATCTTTACCAGTCATACTGTTTTATTGTAATTGGTTGTATTCCCTGTTAAACTGCAAGCTCTATGAAGGGCAAAATTCACATCTATATTTGCTGTTACATTTTCAATATCCAGAACAGGGTGTTAGCAGTTAGCAGCTGCTACTCAGTAGGTATTGGTTAAAAGAATTAATGTTTCTTTTACATTTTTTTCATTGTGTTAAAATAATGATTAACTTTTATAGTTGTAAATAAGTCACTGCTGGAACCATATAACCTTGGAGAATGCTAATTTTTTAGGCAGAATAGAAAATATTCTTGACATTTTTCTTGCTGAATACTAGGGACTTTTATAAGATGTGTTTTTATGTCCACAGTGCAGCCTCTGCCTCTGAAGAAGATGTCTCAAGTAGATTTCCCCGAACAGATAGAAGTGGGTTCACTAGATATAACAGGGATGCAAATGTTTCAGGTAATTTGATCTCAAGTACCACATTGGAAAAGAAAATTGAAGATCTTGAAAAGGTATGAATTACAAATTACATAAGATTGAACAAATTAATGTGTCATTAGGATTCTCTTTTGAGTTTAAGAGTGGCTGAGTGAGAAAGGGAATAAATTGGAATTTGTAGAGGAGAGATAGTGCCAAAAAAGAGAAAAAGAATGAGGGGCATTAAGAGGAGATGTTATTAGTGTTAATTAGTATTTTCATACCTAGTCAAGTAGCAGTTTTTAATCATTATCTTACGTCCTATATAGTTTCTGTGTACATAGTGGTTAGGTGTTTTCTGATTTTCTTAATACTTTCCAGTTTTGTTGATGTTAAATCTTTAGAAATGAAGCTGTTTCTTGTATGCTTTACTATTTAATGTTAGTCCTATTTTGCCAAGTGTTTTTTTAATATATTAAAAAGTCTTTGTCTTTGAAATGATTAGAAGTCTGAGCTGACAGTATGTACTACTGTATGTTTACTATGTTGTCTGAACAGATTGTCATTTGTACTTTACAAATTATAAGAATAAATCTGAGCTAGGTCCATCCATGGTGTTTAAAACAACTTTGTGTACACGTAAACCTGTTTGAAAGTATCTTTCACGGCAACTGAAGTGAATATTGGCATTAATGTCTTGAGTTTGTGCCATAGACATTCACTCAAGTTGATAGTGGCACTAAATTCTTTCATGAAAATATTTAGTTGAAAATATGTTTTGTTTTACTGAATTGAAGTTATTCCCTGTGATATAAAGATTTAGTTTATATGTGTGATATAGAGAGATCTATTTTAAAATTTTGTTTCTATTTTATAACATGATTATTTTAAGGTTATGTCTCTAAGCTTTAACACTAGATTCTACTTGGAACTAGTATATTTAAATTAAAAACTTTAGAGAATGCATAGTCTAAAACTTTTCAAGGGAGTTCCTTAGAAAGTCTTCTGGAGTCCTGCAATAGTTTGGGTTGAGTTGCTAGTAGTTGGCAGAAGCTAATTGATATGATTGGCTGGCTGCTTTTTCTGAGGGTTAGTAGGAAAGAAGCCAAGTTCTGGGCAAGGCCTTTTTAGCTCTGCCTCTCTTTTGCCCTCAGGGTGTCTGATCCAGCCCCAGGCCCTGTATTCTCTAAGTAAGATATCTTTGAAAAACATGTTGCATTATTTAAAGAAAAAAGTTTACGAATTAAGACTTCTGTTTTAGTTCCTTCATTTTTCTTTCCATTGTTAGTTAACTAACTGGCAAAACCAGAAGTAAAATTGAGGATCACTGATTTTCTGTTTAGAGTTTCCACTGGACCATCTCCCTTTTAAAATTTTGTATTTTTAATGAAAAATTAATTTTGAGTGGCCTCAAATAAGATATTCATTAAAAAATAGGTAGTTCATAACTAATAGTGATGCTAAGCTAAAGGAAGTAAGTCGTTGAGTCTGTCAGTGTTTGTTAAAGACTTGTGTAAACATGGGTTTAATCCGGAGCATACCGTACAGCTCCTGTCTTCCCTGTATTCTGATTGTTTTTGGACGGATCTTTTGTTTCTTCACCAAGTGTCTTAAGGAATTCACTGGAAATCTTCATGTAGCTAAGATACTTTATCAAACTTGGCATTTGTATGTCATTTAAGAAGATTATAAACAACCCATTACTTTCTAATTAATGCTTTGTAATTATATCTTCCAGGAAGTAGTAAGAGAAAGACAAGAAAACCTAAGACTTGTGAGACTGATGCAAGATAAAGAGGAAATGATTGGAAAACTCAAAGAAGAAATAGATTTGTTAAACAGAGTAAGTATTTCACATATTTCAGTTTCAGGGTTTCCTCTTTTTGGGGGGCAATTGGATGAAAATATATAAATATGAAGGAATTACTTAATTACCTGATGCAAGTTGTTCTTTTGTTAATGAATTAGTAATTTATAGTAGTAAAAACCATCATTTAACTCCATAAACTGGTTTTCCCTGGGAAATTGCCAGCTTAACTCACCTAATTTTATTATTTTGGGGATGGACTGATGAATGGATTTGCTCTGTTTTTTTAGAGTCTAGGAGTGAGAATCACTTGGTCACCATCTTATGTAAAAGAGAATGGCATAGAGTTGCTTCAATAAAAAACTAAAATTGATATAAGAAATTCCGCATGTCTCTCTATTTCACCACTTTGGCCTCTAGTTACACTTAATGCATCCTCAACTTTAGGTTTACCTTATTCTAAACCCTGTATTATTCTTTGTAATAAGCTCTTATTTTTGTTTTCAGCCCCAAAATTTAGCTGCTTAAGAAACAGATATTAGTGCAAGGTCATACTTAGGTAATGGTGATGAGAAAAGGCCCCATAATTTTGCTTTTTAGAGGGCTTTTGATAAAATGATGGAAAGAAGTAAGTTTGCTTCAGTGGCAGATTCTCAGTCCAGTCTTAACTATAACCATGAAAAGAGAGAAAATAGAAAGAAGAGAAAACAGAGACTTCATTATGTGCATATCTGTTCTAATGAAGCTCCAAGGCATTAACTATAGGTTATAGATGAGGACAGGGAAGCTCACAGTTTAACTTGCTCAGGATCACAGAATCGGCTGAGCCAGTATTTGATTTTTGGTATTTAATAGTGTTTTTCACTCTTTGTGGACTGCCTTTAATCTTGGTCTCAACACAAGTATTCCCATATACTGGAATTTCTGAAAATTCTGCAAATATTATTGATGTCCATGGTGTATTTGCATTGTCGTAGGCACCGTGTGCATTAAGAAGAATAATAAAACCCATGCCCTTACAGACTTACAATCTGTTCTTGAATATATTTTATCACTTGTAAATCTTAGTAAGATCCTAGTTGTTGTATTTACAGGAATCCCACATTTTTATTGTTTCACAGATGCTTCACAACATTATTCATTTAGCTTGTGAATAAATGCAAAATCTGATTTTGTAAAATTTTAAAATCATTATCTGATTATTCAAAGGCAGTATACTAAATATATCAGAGTGCTGCTGTACTATAGCAGTGATTCAAATTGATCACGTCAGGTTTTTTTATTTTAAACTGCAAGGATAAATCTATAAATGTCTGCTTTTCTAACAATTAGTAAATAATCTGACTTGAGATAATGTTTCTTATAACTAAAATGTACGGTGAATTGTTTTTAGCAAGATGGTTGCATATTTGGGACTAGCATTCATGAAGAGAATATAGAGCTGGATCATATACATTTAAAGCTGAAGTGTGAATACCTGATTTATTGGCTTTTAATTATCTTTTGGTTCTAAAACCTTTCCTTCAAAATGTCATAGAGAATCTCAGCATATAAATTAAACCAGATCAACTCTATATCCCCAGGTGCCCTCCTTCTGTATGCTCAGTTATATCACTTCTCCAGAGTCATTCCCAAACATATACCTTTAGTGATTACACAGAGTGGTAAGGGGTTCATCCAGAAGTTGTACCCTGTACCTTTTGACACAAAGTTGGAACCTGGGGCCTGCATATGTGTTTTTTTAAGCTCTCAATTTTAAGGAGAAGGAGTGGAGTTTGTTTTAGCTTAAAAAAAAATCAACGTATTTTGATTAAAAATTGGAAGATTTACTATTTAAAATTTCTGACTTTTGGCTTGTTTTGAAAATTGAAAGATCTGGCAACAGTTGGCCCACATACTTATGACAAGAATGAAGAGTCAAGTAATGGATGTTTGTTTTAGGTTGGGCATATTCCATCTGAAGATATTTTTAGATTTTGCTCTCATTTCAAAATTAATGGTACATGAATTATTTTTGAATATATATTTTGTAAAGTGCTTTTATTTCTCTTAGAATATTTTAAAATACTTTGAAAGTATTATTTTCCTTTTTTCCCTTAAGGACCTAGATGACATAGAAGATGAAAATGAACAACTAAAGCAGGAAAATAAAACTCTTTTGAAAGTTGTTGGGCAGCTGACAAGGTAGAAGATTCAAGACTCAATGTGGAAAAAAATATTTTAAAACTACTGATTGAATGTTATGGTCAATGCTAGGACAGTACTCCTATGCTGCAATACATTAAAATAACTAAGTATGTATATTTATTTCTAGAAAACAAAAGGATGTTTATTTTCAAAATATTTCTTTTCCATTATTAACTTCAAAAAAGTACATGAATAAGTAACATCTTTCAGTTATTAAAATGATAGGCAATGCCTTTTTGGTTTTGTGTGGTATCCAAATAATATATGGTTTAAAGTCACAACTGTTTGAATATATTTTATCATTGGTAGTGCATTTTCTCCCTAAAGGAATATACATAGTCTTTGTTTACATGGGTTCAAATGCTTTTGGGGAGTTCTTACAAATGCCTTATTACAAATAGATATGCAACCTTTTGTGTGTTGATGACTTATAAAGATTTTTGTCTGCTGTCATTTGTTCTTTCTACTTATTCTAAGCAATCTAGAGTAATAAAATCACTATTTTATATAACAGTAATCTTTTAAAAGGACATCTATTATAAAAAGTCACTTAATATCATGTTCTAGCTGACTAAATATAAATTTAAGAGAATACTTGAATTGTGCTGTAGTAAATGAAAATTTACTGTTTTGTGTTTAATTATCGAAAAAAATTTTAAATCACTTTAACTTCTGGAAAACATACAGTTGTAATTTTAATGTAAAATTTCTTATGTAGGTACTACCTTTTTTTATTATTCCAAGGTTTATTAGTGAACACAGGATATTTAAAAAGTTGTTTATTCTTTAGGCCTGGAAAGTGTGCAGTTTCATTGAGGAAGGAAAAAAAATCCATATTTTTATTATATATCATGAAGTAAAATCAAAACCAAAATGTTTGTCCACATTTAAAACATTTATCATATGTAACAAAACAGCATGTAATCAGAAATCATAGTAAAATACTTTGCCTAATTTTTAAGTTGGAGAATAACACTGTGACATGGTTTTTCCATATGAGAGACTGTTACCCTATCCAAATCTAGGGATTTTCTTCCTAACATTGACATTTTAAAAACAGGATTATTTTTAAAGAAGTATACACGTTTTCTCTTCTATTAAACATCATTAGTATTTAGGGTTGCTTTATATTATATTTTCATGTTGAGTAAGACCCCCCCTCCAAAAAAAATGCATGAACATTGTGAAATGCTTGCCTGATAGTTGAATCATAAACAACAGTTCTGAGCCTCTCTATCCAGTTAATGTCTGAAAATGGCTTGAAGATAGTAAATCCATTTTGGGTACCCTACTGACTTTTTCCTTCACTTGCCAAGCCCTTTTATTATTATCTGTTAGAAAAATAGAAAAGGTGAGACAGCTAGGAAAAAATGTGGAGTAAATGATAAGTGTCAGATGTTGAATTCTGAAAATCTCTGTATTTACCTAGGTTGGCTTTCTCTTCTTCCCAGTTTAGTAGTTTCAAGCTTAAGCTGCAAGCTTAAACTTCAAGCTTAGCTGATCATCAGAATCATTTGAGGAATTTTTTTTTTTTTTGGAATTGGGGTCTCACTCTGTTACCCAGGTTGTGTAGAGCAGTAACATGATCACGGCTCACTGCTGTGTCCACCTCCTCAAGATCCTTCCACTTCAGCCTCCTGAGTAGCTGGGACCATATAGACACACACCACCACACTGGCTAATTTTTAAATTTATTGTAGAGATGAAGTCTCACCATGTTGCCCAGGTTGGTCTCAAACTCCTGGGCTCAGGCAATCCTCTTGCCTTGGTCTCTTAAAGTGCTGGAATTACAGGCACAAGCCACCGCACCCAGCAAGGAATTTCTTAAGAATTCCCTGACTAGAGCTCCTGCGTAGGTTTAGGTTGAATCCTGGACTCCAGAATTTTTAAAGCTTATTATCTGATTATTCTGATCAGAACCTAGTTTTGGAAACAGCTGCTGTTGTGTCTTTATTCCTGTATTTTCCATCGAAAACCCTGGAATTGACATTTTAGCTACCAGCTTTTTCTCCCTTTTAGTATATTTAATAACTAATCGGATGTCCAAGGAAGTTTTCATATGTCCATATGGATATTTGCTACTCACAGAAAAGTTTAATAGTTAATAATTAATAGAATTATTGCACAAGGGCTTCCCTTCATGAACTTTTACACAGTGTGGAAACAGTGATTTGCCGCCCGCATGTCAAAGAGATATGCCAGGCCCAGTTATTGCCTTTGGTTGTCAGGTACTCATCTGCTTTAAGTTACCATTAGGTATGTGGCAGAAATGTTCTATAGTCTATTTTCTCATCCACACTTTGGATGTTGTAAAAATGCTGTTAGTATCTAGCATTATAGTATTAGTATCTTGATGTTCGTTAAAAGAATTACTTTGAGTTGTCTGCTTAATTCATATGTAGTTTAAGGAGTATTTTATTTTACTTTCAAAAATTATATTAATTTTTAATGCTTTTAAAGACTGAACTGTTTTGTTTTTCCAATTTATTGGGAACATTTCTATCGATATATTTGTTTTTCTAACATAATGATACTGAGTGCAAATACAGGAGTCTTACAACTTAGGCAAAGCATTTCACATGCATTCCTTCCCCTACCTCCTTAAAGTATGCATTTATTTCACAAACATATTTTTATACTATTGAAAAATAAAGTAGGATATGATATAATTTCCCCTTACATTTTTTTTTAAAGGGTTGAGGTTTTTAAAAACTAGTTTAAGTACATGTACACTACCCTGGAAAACTTGGCTATTGTCAGTAAAGTGCTAGTATTTGTGAAATTATTAGTCCTATTCAAAAACATTATTTCTTAAATCCCTTGAAAATTTGTGGTATAATGAAGTACATACACAGTTCTGATGTGTTTGAGATTATTTTCAAAATAATGTTTATTATTAAAATGAACATGTCTTGCCTTCCTGATTTCTGAAGTGATTAACTTGAAAAATTATTGTAGTAATCTTTATTTCATCTTTTAGAATTGTTGGTAATTTTATCGTACAACAGTTATCATTAGAGAGGAAGGGGAAAGGCTTTTGGGTATGTATTTCTAAGTAATCTAAGGATTTACTAAGTATAGTAGATTAGCACTGTCACACTTGTTTAAGTAGTTTAAAATTTAGAAAATGATCAGGGCCAGATACATGAAGCAATGTAGTATTTTTTCAATAGTAATTTTTAAATTTTTAAATTGTGGTAGAAGTGATGTATTCTTCAGGTGAAAAACCTACCTCAGTTACATGTGGTTTATGTTTTCTAGATTAATCTGGATTTTATAATTAGAAACTAAGATTTTAAGTCCACTTTATACTTTGTTCAGCATTCATATGTTTAATATACTGTAAGACAAAAGAGTAAAGACCTTGGATTCGATTATTAATCTGGTGTCCTGGACAATAGTCATATTATGTATGGTTGTGGTCTTTTTTTTTCTTTCTTTTTGGTAGTTTTGTTACTGTGAGTTGATGACTAGTGAGTTCCATACAGTGCTGGCACTTATTTAATAATTATTCATTATTTTGTTAATAAGCTGTTACAGGATTCAGGCATATATTTTCATTCTTGGAGTATAAGAAAACAAATACACAAGTTTTTCATTGGAGGGAACATATTAAGTAAAAATATTCAGTAATCAGGACTTTAAAATAACATGTTAAAGTTAGTGCTGAACATTTCTCATATTGTATCTGAACCTATCCTAATATGTTTAACCATGGAGCTTGACTTTTGCATTAGAACTATGTGCTCATAAATAAAGGACATTCTCTCAATTAAAGTTGTAACTTACATTACTTTTTTAAGAACTAGTGTGACAGTTTTCTTTTGTTGTATTGTTAAACTGAAAGCACAATACTAATAGACAACAGTTTGCTTATTAGACAAACATGGACTAAGTCACCTCCCCCCTGCTGTTACTCCTTGATTCATTCTCAGTTTAAAACGTGAACTATTCACCCCCAAAAAAACCTGAGCCCATATTATTTTTTTTACTTAGCTAATATCTCATAGCATGTTAAAGTCATATCCTCATCCTCCCCAAAATAATTTTGTATGTGTGAGAGGAATATGTAAGTGTTGCATTAACTTTTCATGGATTTTTCAGCAAGTATTTTTATTAGTCAACTTGGATATAGTATTACAGAAGTTTTAAATAAGTGGAAATTGACCGCCTTTCCATCCAGCAATGTACAGTCTACACAGTGTATGTCAGTAACATAAAGTCCAGTCTTAGCATTAGCCTATCTGGTCTGAATAGTTCACTCAAAAGTACTTTTTTGGCCAGGCATGGTGGCTTATGCCTATAATCCCAGCATTTTAGGGATTGAAGCGAGAGGATTGCCTGAGCCCAGAGGTTCAAAATCAGCCTGGACAACTCTGGCAAGACCTCAACTCTACAATAAATAAAAAAATTAGCTGCGTATGGTGGCACATGCCTGTAGTTTGGCTACTTGGAAGACTGAGGCAGAAGGGTCACCTGAACCCAGAAGATTGAGGCTGGGGTGGCGGTGATGGTACCACTGCACTCCAGTCTGGGTGACACAGTGAGACATTGACTCAAAAAAAAAAGGTACTTTTTTGTATTACTCATCCATTGTCTTTTAGATCTAGTTAATTGGTACTTTTTAATTTGCTGCAACATTTACTGAACAGTGGAGTGAAAGAACAGTGCATATTGGGGAGTATCTTACCATATTTTTAAAGATAATTATGCATTAGGAAAAGAACATTTTAAAGGAATTTATATCAGTAATGAAGTGAAAAGAATCCAGTGTATAGCAGATACACCAAACTTGATGGTTTTTAAATTGATTTCAATTTAGCATTTCTGTATACATTGTTGATTGCTGATTTTTAGATATTGACATCTGTTCTAATCTCCAGTTCACATTTGCAGTTGCTCTGATAATAATAGAATGTTAGTGATGATCACTTGATAGACATTGACTAAGTGCCTGTGTTTTGTTTGTTTTCCCCTCTGGATACCAAATAGGTATATGTTACTTTTTTGGTGAACTTATTTCTGGAAAGATTTGGCAATGCTATTCAGGGTTTTTATCCTTATGTTTTTCTTCTGAATTTAAGTAGCAGGCTTATGCTATCAACAAAAACCATATGAACGCTAAAACTGTTTTGTTGAAAAGTCAGCTAATTCAGGTAATTCAAATACTTGTGGAAAAACATCTGGATAATTTATGGAACATACTAGTATAGTGTAGACAGCTGTGATCATTCCCATTGCATAGATTTTTATTGTGGAATAGTTATTTTAATATAGATTTACTTTTAATATGCTTTGCATGTAAAAAGTTATAAATATTTTTCATTTATTTTTCAAAACTGGTTATTTTCTTTCCTTCCTATACTATCAGTAAAATCCTGACTGATATTTTTGAAGTTAAAGGATAATACTAATAATTGAGTTAGCTTCTGTGCCTGTTACTGAAACAGTATAAAGTATTTTTTAAAATCTTTATTTGATATTTTATTTTAGAAGAAATAATGTTTTAAGAAACAAAAAATTGTGTTAAGATATGAATACATTCATGGTGGGGCTTCTTGAATAAGTGAGGAAATGGATATGTTCAACCTGACTAAAGATTTTAATTGTTCAAAATTGGAACTATTATAAACCTGATGGT